TGCTAAAAATAAAATAAAATGTAAAATAATAATAAATGCTAATAAACTAATAAAATAAAAAAAAACTAATAATAAATATCTATTTAATAAAATCAATATGTTTTTCGATACAAGTAATACATATAATTATTAAATGTAACAATATTATTTGAGAATGTATAAATATTACATAATATGATTCAATAAATTTGTTCAAAAAAATCTTTTACTGTCTTCTCTGTCTTCTCTGTCTTAAACTTCTCCAAACACAAATTTAATAATATCAAAATATAGCTAGAATGGTTTGGACTTTTAATGTCATGAAAGATTTAATAAATTTTCATAATAAATATTACAAAGAATTCAAAAATATTCTGAATACTGAGCATGCTATTATCTGGGATGGGATAGCAATCAAAATAAACAATCATCATTCAGCTCAAGTTACTGGCAGACAATACCAAGTAATAGGCCACGCTGGTTCACAGTTATGCGAACTCTAGAAGAATAAGGATTGGAAATCTTGAAGGATTTTTAATAAGAAGTCCAAATCGATTTGATGTAACATTTTACATATGATAAGGAATGAATTTTAGTTGCCTCAAGATATTAATGATAGTCTAATTTAAATTTATTGTTTGTTTTAAATAAATATATATTTATTTTTATTTTACTTTTAGATGAAATAAGACATGCATATTTGAGGCAACGAATCGATAAACGTCAATTCGAATTTAGAGAATGCAGACATTCTCAGGATCGATCAAGAAGCAGAGGTAGAGAACATAGGCATTCTCAGGATTGATCAAGAAGTAGGAATCGACCTTAATGGAGGAATAGAAAAAGGGATCAATCTCAAGGAAGAAATAGAAGAAGGAGAAGGAGAAGTTAAATTTTTATTATTTTTATTATATCATTTTTCATTTTCGTTTTAGTATTTTTTTTTTATTTTTAGTTTTATTATTTTTATTTTTTTATTTTTTGTTTTAGTTTTTATTTTTAGTTTTATTATTTTATATAATTAATTGAGTAGCGACGTATCAAATATTGGCTGGAGACTCATCTTTTTGGGCTGTGAATTGGTACTAACAACCTCGTCGTACAACCTGGATGCTATTTTTTAAAAAAAATAGTAGCAAACAAGTACCAACTTTAAAATTAAAAATAAAAAATAAAAAATAATTAAATCAAATGTCATAAATTGTTTGTTGATTTGTTTAATGATAATACTCATTATTTAATGTTAATTACATTGTAATACATTTGGCTATTAACTTTTTATAGAAAAATTCATTTAAATTTTTTTTTTAATTCATTCTCATTACTAAATAAGGAAATTGATATAATATTTCTATAAAAAAAAATATATATATTTGTAACACAATTTCATTTAAAAAAAATCATCATAAAATTACAACACGCATGTTATATTTATCATTATAAAATCGAATTCAATCTATATTTAGAAGTAATATTAAAAGAAATATCAAAAGTAATATCAGAAAAAAATAATGTTAATAATAGTATTGCAAAAAAGTAATATGAAGAGAGAATACTTTAAGTATAAGATAAATTCTCAGTAATTAAATATTAATTTGCAAAACAAATCCACTTGATGGTGAATAATAGAAACGGTCAAGAAGGTATAAACTATATTAAAGCTTTTAAACTCAAAAATGCTATACATTTGTAAAACAAGAGTTATGGTCACTATAACAATATAAAAGACCTTCTGGATTATAGAATTAAAAAAATTATCAGCAAGAATTTCCTTAATCTGTTATGCTATTAATGTCATAAATCCTTCTTTTTTACCAAATTCTCTTTCTTGCAAGTATTTCATTTTGCCATATAATACAACCCATAAGTCTGGAAATTTATATTTATCATGCAAATTAATTCTATGAATTAGTGAAACCTTTACTAAATGGTAATTAATGGTATCAATAACTTGTTTTATAGTTTTTGCTTTATATTCACCAAAATTTTTTTAGACATTTGTATAACATATTCACAAATCTGTTATTGAATTAGAATTGAATTTGTAATATCTTGAAGTGTTGTAGTATAATTACAATTTTTACGAAATTCTTCAAATTTAGTTAGCCTAATTTTGAGATAATCTTGCTATATTAGATACTATAGCTTTATGATGATAGAAATCAAGTTTTTCTTAAATTTTAAAAATTTGTGAAATAAAAAAGGGTTTGAAAAATCTTGAAAAATAGAATCAATCTTGTTAGTTTGAAATGAAGTTGAAGTTGAAGTCTCAAGTTATTTGCACTAATAAAAATCGATTTAAAGATTTGTTGGAGTTTATGATTTTATTAGTTCATTTTTGAAGCATTTTAATAATAAAAATAAAAAAAATAAAAAATGTAAAGAAGTAAAAAAAGAAAGGATGAGAATATAATGAAGTAAAAAGAAAAGAAAATAAAATAAACTTATTATAAAATAGACTTTTAATATATATACTGTATACTAGTCAAAATATTATCATCAGAATGATACAATGTTGATATCGTCCATTCTGGAGCATCTTTTGGAGGTCTTGGGCTATCATACCATTTCTCATTCTCGTATCAACTACAATATACAACTTTACATAGCTAATACTTTCACCAACCTGATCAGCTGAGTGAAGTAAGTTATGTACCTATTAAATAAAAAGAATCGATAGATATTATTATTAGATAAATAAAATTAAATTACTTACTTTAACACATACCCGACTTGATTTCCATTTTTATCATAAACATGAAGTACATGTTTATCTGATTGATCCTTATTTTTTGGTCAAATTCCTACTTGAACTTCCTTTTTTACAAGTTCTTCATCAGTTTCGAATACTTCATCACTATGATACTCACCTTTATTCATTATTAACTCACAGTTCTCTTTAAACTCATTCAAATTTAAAGATGACAGATGGAGAGTATCAAACAAATTATTATTAGTATCAAGCATGTGTGCTATTCCTTTTTGTTTTCTTTCTTTTTTCTATTAAGCAAAAAACATCTACATGATTAGAAGTTAATTTTTCTGATATATCATTTCCTTATTTGATATTTACATCGCCTCTTCGGAAATTGGTCTCTTTTCTTTTTTTATCTAACTTTTGCTTGTCCAAATCAAGACTAATTCTCCAGCTTTCTTAACGATGATAATGTAATTGCTGCAAAATCCACTTCAGCTCCGTATCATTATAATGAAATCTTCTTACTAAATCTTTGTCGATTTCTTTTATTATGTTTTTTGAAACATGATGGAAGATTTCAGTCCATTTTTTAGTATGATCAAGCTATAACGAATCATCAAGTCCATAAAGTATCTGTACTACTTCGTCCTAATTTGAAAAAAAAAATAAAAAATATTTAGAATTTCACTAAACCAATAATTACTCAATACTTAAAATAAACAACTTAAATTGTTCGTCATTCATATTTTTCAAAATAGAACGAGTATATTGATGTTTGAAATTTGGTTCCAGGGAAAAGGATAAGTTTCTCATTCTCTGTGACAATAATTCACATCATGATGATGATTTACGTTGAGCCTCTTTGATACTGTGAATCTCATTTATAAGTGTAATGATAGCACTATTTATAGCTTCAATATCTATAAATTGAAGATCATGAGATATATACAAAATCGCGTAATAATATTATTATATAAATTAGAAAATAAAACTGAACTTACAATTATTTTGACCTCCTAGACTATTTGTATTGTTAGGATCGACTATGGGGTTTATAGAAGAGATGCTGGATGTCTTTGATTTCAACTTTTCAATAGCAGGTGTTCTAGATCTTGAGTTTTGAATAGTAACAAGGGATCGAGATTTTGAATTTCGAATAGTAACAGAAGATCGAGATCTTGAATTTCTAATAGCAGGAGTTCTGGATCTTGAGTTTTGAACATCAGAACTTGAACTTGAAGCTATTGGTGATTGTCCTCTTTGAGAATAATAATAATCATCTAGTCTATTTGATGAGCGAATATAGTAACTTGAGTTAGAATCACAGAAATGACTTATAGATGATCAAGAATGACTTCTTCTAAAAGAATGGGGATTTCTTTTTGAAGAGCGAGAATAAGAACAAGAATTTCTCTTTGAATGTTGAGTTGAGTTTAGCTTGAAAATTTTCTGATCTTGCATTTTAGTCAATAATAAGATAAAGACTTATTAAAGACAAGAAGGAGAAAATCGTGTTCTTTTATACCTTTATTTTTTACACAAGACTATTTCCTTTCTGCGAACTCATGTAATAACTACTAAACATTCATTCTTTTTCTACAATAGTTTGATAGTTGTTATATACTGAACATGACGTTATTTTATACTTAATTTTCGTCTACCGCCCAAACTAAAGGAAGTTAAACTAATATCCAACTATTGTCTTAAATTTCTTTTTAGAAGTATAATAGTTTAAACTTTATTTAGTTAAACTGATATTCAACTATTGTCTTAAATTCATTTTTAGAAGTATGTGCTTATCAATATAGATGTTAAAATGTAATAACTAGACTAATATATTAATATGACAGTAAAGTATCGTAAAATTATAAAAATTAAGAACTTTAATTTTTTATTTTAATTTTTTTTTATTAGAAATCCATTTATTTAATTGTATAAATTTACTGATTCATCGAATTTAAAATGACGAGAACATATTGAAAAACTAAAAAATCCTTTGTAAAAAAGACTGATAATCCCTATAAATAATTAGTATAAGGAAAGTATACAAAAATAATACATTTAAAAAATGTATAAAATACATAGAAAATCAGTATAATAAATTCGTAAATATTTCCATATACAAGATACTGAACATCGTCTTTTTCCGTATGCAAAAAAATACGGAATTTATACGTCTAATCAGTATATTATATACATAATTTTACATAGATTTTATACGTCTAATCAGTATATTGTATACTTTATTTTTGCATAGATTTTATACATTTAACCATTATATTATATATGTTATAGATATATGTAATTTTATATATAATTTTATAATAATAATGCTAACCAATTTATATAATTTATAATTTATAATTTATGATACTAATGCAAATTTCATAAAGCAAAATTCTTAAAATTCTTTATTAAAATAAAATATAAATAATATATACAATATATTAGTAAACAAAAAAAT